ATAATTATTAAATATATAAAATATAAAAATCAAAAACCAACAATCTAGAATTATATAGTGGTATAGATTAGGTTAAATACCCTTTTTGGTCCCTCTACTATAGGAAAAAGCTCCTTTTTAGTCCATGTACTGAAAAAATCTTCTTTTTGATCCTTATTGTTCACAAATCCAGCTCCTTTTTTGTCTCTCTGTTAAATTTTGGCTTACATGGCATGTTAATTAATGAGAAAAAAAAATTTTTTTCTTTACTTAAATTACGTGTGAAATCCATTGAGCAAGACTTGATGACATGGCCAATTTTTTATCTTTAATTATTAATTTACCTTCATTTTCTTCCCACATCCTCTCCTTCCTTCAGCCTTTTTTTTCTTTTTTCTTTTTTTTCTTACCTTTAGGCGAACCCAAGAGCCTGGGTTCGTCACGATGAACCCAGCTCGTGGGGTCGTCGCGATGAACCCAGCTCGTGGGTTGGTCGCGATGAACCCTGCTCGTGGGTTCGCAACGAACCCAGGAGCGTGGATTCGCGACGGCACTTCAAGCGTGGAAAAATGTTAGTTGGTAAGATTAGATTGATTTGGTTAAATGATTCTGTGATCAATTGAGCACCAAGACTTGGGTTAATTAACTGTTTTTAACAAGTTCTTCCAAGAAGGAAGTTGAATAGGTTTTGTTGGTTCGCGATGAACCCAGTCGCCGGGAGGTGATCGGTTTGATTTTCTAGTTTAGGCCATTGACATTGAGTGCTAGAATTTCAAATCCTCAATTTTCAATTTCCTGAAATTTTTGCTGCTCTTGGGTTTTCTGTTGTTGGATGTTTCTAGAGCTGTTTGTTTCTAGAGCTGTTATTGGATGTTTCTTATTTTTGGCAGGGATTGAGAACCCAGCTCGCGCCTGGGTTCACGACTTGGCAGAGATTGAGAACCCAACTTGCGTCTAAGTATGTCGCGAACCCAGGCGCGAGCTGGGTTCATTGCCAACCCAATCACATGAGCTGGGTTCATTGCGAACCCAGTCGCAAACCCAGTCGCGCAAGCTGGGTTCATCCTAGGTTCGCGATAAACTTAGGCACCTGGGTTCATCACAAACCTGCGAGCTGGGTTCGCCTGAAGGTAAAAGGAAAAAAGCTAGAGGAAGTGGGGTGATGTGAAGAGTGACGTGGAGTCCACATAAACATATTTTACGCGTTGGTATACCACGTCAGCTATTCTAATTAAGTTAACATGCTACGTAAGCCAAAATTTAACGGAGGGACTAAAAAGGGGTCAGATTTGTGAACAGTAAGGATCAAAAAGGAGATTTTTCGGTACAGGGACTAAAAATGAGCTTTTTCATATAGTAGAGGGACCAAAAAAGTATTTAACCTATAGATCAATGTTTTAAAAACCGGACCGGACCGGCCGGTTGAACCGGTCGGACCGGTACCCGGTACAATAAACGGTTCGGGTTAAGGTTTAGAACCGGTGAAGCGGTTGAACCGTTCAAAACCGATGAAACCGTTCAGACCGGTAC